ACTTTGTTTTAAAAAAAAAGACATCAGCTGTGCTAGGGAAGGCTCAGGTTTACCTGGGAGATGGGACGAGACGGGGGGAATTCCTCTGTTTCTCCTCCTTTTCCTTCTGTCCACCCTCAGGAATGTCCTATGAACAATGTCAGGCTGTTGTCACGGGTCCAAGGGCAGGGAATGTGAAGGTTTTCTCCTGCACCTTTGCATATCTCTTCCCATTTCATTTTCCCAACATGCCTAACAAAGAGGGATGTTCCCCTTATCAAGTGGAGGAGGCAGCTTAAATTCAGACAGCTGAGTAGCTGTGGCAACTAGTCACCAAAGACAACCCAAAACAATCCATCCCCTCCTTCATACAAACATGGCGCTCCTTTCCTTACAAGACGGAGTTTGTAATTATTATCTCCTCTCCTTGAAACTAGACTGGACCCATCACCTTTTGACCAATAGAATGTGGAGGACAAGATGTTCTGAGACTCTTATGGCTCAGACATTAAGAAAGCCTGGCAGGTTCCACTCCCGCCTCATAGATTTCTGGGCATGTGTGTAAGCAACCACGGGGACTCTGATGGAGAGAGATGCTACATAGAGGAACACTGAGGGGTAAGATGTCCATCCCCAGTCACTGCCACCATCCCAACGCAACTGCCTGAGAGAGCCCAAAGCAAATCTAGGGGTGAAACTGCCCAGCTGCGCTCTGGCCAATTTACAGAACAATGAGAATAAATAATAAACAATAGAATAAAATAATTGCTTGGGCCACTGTGTTTTAGGCTGATTTGATGTGCAGGGCAAGATAACTAACCAGCAGCCACGCAAATCATAACTAATAGGGAAAAGGTTAAGTTGAAAGTTTAATCACCTGATGGATTTTTCCATTTACTATATTTAAAGGATGACTTTTAAACGGTTATTTGAAAGCTTCAGTGAACATATCCGTGGAGGATTTGCCAAGCCGGAACTACGTTTCCCAGCATCCCCTTCTCTCTGCTTGCAGGTTAAAGTGCGCCACAAGAGAAGGGAGAAGTGGAAGCTGCAGCCACCAGGCTCTAAGGGTCAGTGGAGGAGCAGGTGCTATGGTGCCCTTGCACACTTCACTGATGTTTGGCTCACCCTGCTGGTGTGTCATAACAGCTGCTCGACTGCTTGGAGGCAGGGAGGGGTAGGGGAAAGCCACTGGCTGGGTTTCAGGGGACAGGGATTACCAAGTCTCAGTACATGGATTGGTGACCCAGGTGTACACAGGTGGTCCAGAGAGTCATTTACAGTGACATGCAAAGGAAACCAGGAGAAGAGCATCCCTAGTATTTCTCTCCTACTAAGACATGTCCCAGGATCTCTTTGACCTGACAACTAGGACCATTTGCCTATTCATAGGAGCCCCATCTTCCTCAGGACAAAGGGCAGGAAATGGCCCATGTCAGTATTCAGAACGCCCAGTGCCAAGCTGTGTGTCTGTCTGTCTTTCTGTGTGTGTATGCTAACCATTAGCCTCCGAGGCCAGTATGATGGCTAATTTTATGTGTCAACTTGACTGGGCTGTGGAATGCCCAGGTTAAAGATTATTTGTGCATGTGTCTGTGAGGCTGTTTCCAGATGAGACTGGCTTTTAATGTGGTGACCTCAGTAAAAGAGATTTCCCTCCCAAATGGGAGCGGGCACCATCCAATCCTTTGAGGCACTGAATAGAAGAGAAGCAGTACAGGTCACATTTCCAGAGAAATATTCCAGGGTAAATTTCCAAGGTGGGGTCTCCTTTTCACACGTCAGATTTCCAGAGTAACTGGATTCCAGCATTCCTGGGAAATGCATCTCATGAGTTTAGGTCATGGCTAGGGAAGAGAAAGGGGCTGATGCCATTTTCTGGAGGGGGACACTCTGTGTTGGAGCCTCCCAGGGGCCTGTGGGCCTCCCATTAACTTGGATGGAGAAAAGACTTCTTTTCTGGGACTTACCCTTCCTGTCACATTCAGGAACAGTTTCTCATTTTGTAACTGTGTTTCATGTAATAAATGTGAGTAAGAGAATGACACTCCACCCTCGCTCCCCACCCTGGACCCCTCTGGCTCCTGGTCCTCTCATCTTCCCACAGCATGGACTGCAGCAGCACTACCAACAACAGAAGTGTCTCTTGAACCATCAATGCCAGCCACTGCCCTGGGACAGTCTGGCCACCAGGGTCCCTCGGTATGGGAAGAATGGCTGGGGAAAAATAAGAGTAAACTACAACAGGAAGTGAATGAATAAGAACAGGATAGTAATTTGCACATAAGTGCAAGTTCAGACCCACAGCTTCCAGAGATGCAGAGGTTCTTGGAGATCAGCAATCACTACTTCCCTACTCTGCAGAACTCAATATAGGTCTAGAGAAAGCAAAAGTCTTCCAAAAGTGATACTGGTTGATGTGACTTTCATACTCAGAAGTGCTTATGAAAAGTTGGAATTTTTCCTGCCCTGCACATTCAGATAAACTTGCCATTGAACTTTTTCCCTGGAAAATAATGTTTCCCGCTGATTCAATTCCTTTATGGATACAGGGGTATTTGGGTTTTTCACTTTGTCCTGAGATGGTTTAAGTAAAATATACATTTTTTGTAATTTTTAGATATTATCTAACTTTTAAAATGAATTAGCATATATTTGTGTGAGGTATCCTCATATATTGTTTTTAAAGTAAAAGACATTGAAGCAAATATACATAGTGAAAGCAGTTCTGATTATAAAGACATGCTTGATCAATTTTCCTAATGATGACATTCCCAGATTAACCATCTAGATTAAGAAGTGTCACCAATGTCCATTCCTAGTTAGTTACCCCCATCTCAAAAAAAAGAGCCACTGTAATGACTTCGGTCATCATTGATTAGTTTTATTTGTTTTTAATTTTTACGTAGTTGGGAACTTCCTGTGTGTGTTCATCGTTGTCTGGCCCCTTTGCTCAGTCTTTTGCTGTCAGATTTACCCACACATCAGCAATTCCTTCATTCTCGATGCTGAAAGAATTCCACTGTGTGCATATGCCATACACTCTATAATCTGTCTACCTTTGTTGGATGTTTGGGCTATTTCCAGTCTGGATCTCTGACGAAGATTGGGGCTACAAAAGTGGTGCTTTCGGTAGGTATGTGCACTTTTGCTGGGTGTATTTTGTACAGTGGCCTTTCTCAGTAATAGAGTGTGTGCATATTCAGTTTTAGTAAGTATTACCAGACAGTTTCCAAAGTGTTTACGATATTTACATTTCAATAACGAGCATATGAGAGTTCCAGTAATTTCAATTCTGGACTATACTTGCTATTTCCAATTGTTTCCTTCGTGGGTTTTTCTTTGTCTGTTTTCATCTTAATCATGCTGGAGATTAGTGGAAGTCATTGTGGGTTTATTTTGCATTTTCTTGATGAGTCAGGACACTGAGGAACTTCTCATATTCTTATGGGGATTTGAGCATCTTCCTGTGTGATGGACTTAAGTCATTTGCCCATTTTCCTATTTGGTTGTTGATCCTTTTCTTATCAATTTTTACAGGTACTTAAATATTCTGCAGACAAGCTCTCTCTTGGAGATTTTTATTACTAATATCTTCTTCATGGCATCTTTTATGAACAGTTTCTTAATTCTAACATAATCAAGTTTATAAATCTCTTCTGTCACTGTTAGTAAATCTTTGCCCTGTTTAAGAAATACTTGTATAGCCACAAATACACACATTGTCTTTGATGTTTTCTAAAAAAAATCTAAAGTTTCCCTATTTACATTTACGTATCCAAACCACTAGAAATGGACTTTCCTGTATTGTGCGATGTAGGTGTTATGATTCCTTTTTACCCATATGGATATCCAATGGATCCAGCACTATTTCTCAAAAGGGCCATATTTCTCCCACTGCATTGAAGCATAGCTCTTGTCATAAATCAAGTAATTGTATATGTGTAGGTTTGATTCTGAACATTCTATCCTGCTCTACTCGTCTATCCTAGTAACAGCCCCACGTGACCTTAATTACTCTGGCTTTATAAGAGGTCTTAGTACCTTGTGGTATGAATATACTATAACTTATCTCTTTTTTATGATTTTTTGCCTCTTCTAGGTCCTTTCCAACAAAATAAGTCTATCTAGATAATGATTAGTTCTGCATTCCTTCTACTGGGCAAGAACACAGAGAGAGATCGTCTCTGAGAAACTGAGTCATAGGGAAGAGCAAAGCTAAAGGTGGAAAATAAACACTGAAAACCCCTTCTACAGACTAGTCATTATCCTCAGTAACGCCAGAGGAATTGAAGCTCTGGTGACTGAAGGTAACTACAGAAAACACAAAACCAAAATCCAGCTCAATTCTGACAGGACAGGTACAAATTCCCACATTAACATCCCAACAGAAGAGGCATGCCCGCTTCCAGGCATAAACACTGTTTACCTCAGTCTCTACTCTTCTACACACAGTGTCCAACATTCATTAAAACATTTGGAAATGCACAAAAAGCAAGAAATATCAACAAACTTTCAAGAGTCCAAGGAATCAACAGAAGAAGTCTCGGATATGAGCAAGATGTTGGAACTATCAGAAAGGAACATATAACATAACTATTATGATGTTAAATGCTCTAGTGGATAAGGTGGGCAAAACGCATGATCACATGGGGAATTTCAACAGAAAGATGAAAATTATACAAAGAGATAAATTGAAATGCTAGCAATTTTTTAAATTTGACAACAGAAATGAAGAATGCCCTTGACGGATTCAGTAGACTTGATACAACCAAGGAAAGAATCAGTAAGCTTCAAGGTCAATTCATAGAAATGACACAAACTGAAACTAAAAACTTCCATAAGGGCATTGGAACAACATCATATCTTTACTTAAATTTTGTTAAAGTACCAAAGAGAGAATAGAATAACAAACTTGTCACCTGGATTTAAGAATTATTCACCTTTTTCCTGAGCTATTAAGAGTCACTGTTTATTCTTATTAAGTTCTTCTGTACAGCAGACACCTGAGGGGAATCTTCTTCTGTTTCTGGTATTGTAAGTGCTCCCAGACTGAGTTCTTTGGCTTTCTCATCCTTGTATCTTTCTTCCCCCTTTCTGTTGTAGTATGTTTTATAGTGTCCATGTGATTACTCTTCATATTCTCATGCTTACCACAGGCAGTCTCTCCAGACATTGTATCTTCCTCCTTAACTCAGAGCTAGGGTTTAGGGGTAGGTGTTACTTTCAACCAACTTGTCTGAGATCTACGTGTCTGGGGTGGAGGGAATCCCCGGAGAGAGAAAGAGGGTAGAACTCATATGGGAATGGGCACACCCCTCCTGAGGTCCAGGACTCCCCTCTCTCTACTGGCACTTTGAACTTCACTAGGGTCCTCTCTATAAACCAAAGGTATATCCTACATCGAGGTTTCTGCTTGAACCCAAACTGAGAACAGTGTGAGGGAAGATGCTAAGCTCTGGCAACCCTCAGAGACAGCCCCTATGATATGTAAGTCTTCTTCTCTGGAAGTCTTTTCATTGATTTTATCCAGGTCAGTCCACTCATATGAGTGAGCGTGAGTGCCAATAGGGAGATCTCGGTGAAAATTCTCAGATTTCTGTCAACCCTACTTTCTCACATATATTCCTGCTTCTTGAGAAGAGGAAATTATTCAGGCTCAGGAAACTTTCGATGCCACAGTACAGACTTCTGATTCTTTCCAGTTGACCCCATTGAGAAGTATATAATGTGATGTTTTATTCATTTCCTGGTTTGTACTTTGCTGGTGAAATTTTAGCTCCATTTACTGAAATGTCCTGTGTTCACTTAATACAGAATGGGACTTGCCACTCACAGCATCAGGCTAAGTTGCCAGCAGGAACTTGCATTTTCAAGGGATAAGGAACCAGCACACAATCAACACACACCTGTACCAGGACCTGCATACAGTGCTTCACGTGTGTCACAGCATCCTTGTGAGATGGGGCTCATTACTTCCCCACATTACAGAGCAGGACACTGAGGTGCAGAGAAGTAGAGTGACCAACGTTCTAATGTCACCCCCTTAGTAAATGGGGAAACCAGAATTGAATTCAAATTTCTCTTATTGTAAGGCTAATATTTATTCCCTACAGCAAAGAATTCCCATTAAATTATTTATAATCCATTAATTAGAGATACATTTACTGTATTAGAACCAGGGTTTGAAGTCTCTTTCCCAGAGAAGCTCTGAGCCTTAGAACCTATCTGTCCTCTATCCTCTGAACACGGGGGCTAGTGCTCCTGTTCCTTGGCCCTCAAACTTCAGCTGTACTACCTGAGGGGATTTTAGTGGAGCTTGTGAGCCCATTATGCTTTGATGAGAATGTTTATGGGCAGAAGGGACTATGGGGGAATGAGGACATACCATGTATGACCTCATCCTTCCCATCACGTGAACTTGGGACTCCAGCTGTGCTATGGCGTGACAGATACACCACTCCCATTAGTCCCAGAGAAAATAGATTGCTTCTCACCTGTACGATGTTGCTGTAAGACAATGACGTCCATGGGAATGGAATATCTGGGAAAAAAACATAATAGTTCCCTCTGTAGTGGTGAAGGGTGGAATGAGTGCGGTGCTCTCCTATTCTAAAGCTACAAAATCAGCAAAGTAGGTGGATTCTGGAATCACTCTTGTCCCTCTCCTCAGGCACTGAGTACCCAGATCCAGGCACTGAGTATCCCAAGCCCTGATCTCTCCTTGGTCTCCCTCTTGCACTCAGGGTGCTGGGAGTCCTGGCCGCACACTCATAGAAGACATGACGTTAGGTGGTTTTCTGTGGTCACACAAACTCCAAGAAACATTGTACATCAGAGTTGTTGATGCCAAATTCCCAGGCTTGTTGGGTGATGACATAAAAATGAGGTGTGTATCGAGATCCCTTATATGCTATGATGTAGTGATCTCTCCCCTGCTCCCAGCCTTATCTTGAACTAATTTCTCTGGGCTGCAATGAAGGTGGCTTACCACACAAGGGGACGTCTGTCCTCCCAATACTCTTTGTAGACCTAGAGCTCCAGGCAAGGGAGTGATGCTGTCCGTGGTGCTGAACTAGGGCCAGGTTCTGAGCTCAAAAATCGCCCAGCTCTAAGAGGGGTCTGAACCCCTCCAGCATGGGATCCAAGATTCAGGTCAGGTAGGCAGCCATTTCACCTGAAGTGGTGAAAAGATATGGCTTGCCCGAGAGAAAAGATTTAGGGGACATGAATCCTCTCATCAGTGGGCTGGGGTTCTCTTATGCTCTCTCTGCTTCCTAGTTCATCCCTGGGGATGCTTCTGCATGTCTGGGGGTGCCTAATTGCCTAGAGGAACTAAGAACAGTGAGACTACATGAAAGACTATTGGACCTAACATTAAAGAGACCAATGGGGACCTGAAGAGAGAAAGATTCCGGAGAGTATTGGGCTTTATGTTGAGAGGCTGTGAGATCGGAGTGACAGGAACTCGTGGGGGAGGGACCATCAGTTTCAAAAAGTAATCCTTATACTACTGAGAAGTATTCATAACCTTTGTTTACTGACTAACACAGTTCAGGAAAATTTTAAAAATATGTTTTCTCATAAGACCTTACTACGTATAATTTATACCTACTAAATAGGACATTTAGATCTAGATCCTGGAGAAAGCAGCTGACTTTCAATCATTCTTGAATATTGATTGAACATTACTCTGTGTTAAGCACCATCCCACACGTGAGGTTACGTGGCTCCCGTGGTCTGGTCTATAACATCATCAACCCCAGGTCCCTCTTCCCAGAGCCAACAACATTTGATGACCATCTTGGTATACTCCCTTCTTTTTTTCAGGACATTTGTTTTTTTCTCTTATTTTGATCCTAATCGAGGTGATGGTATACCGTTCTATTTTATTTAGAAGAGTAATTACCTAGTCTTCTAAATCTCATTTTTACGGGTTGTTTTTAATAGGAGATGTGCTATATTTAATAAATCTCTCAAATTATTTTTATTTTATTTTATTGCAGTAACTCTGGAATATAGCATTATATAAATTTTAGGTGTATATCATTATATTTCGATGACTGCTTAGGTTACATCACTTTCAACACCGAAAGAGTAATTACAATCCATCACCACACACATGTGCCTAATCATCCCTGTCACCCTTCTCCCTCTCCACTCCCCCTCTGGTAACCACCAATCCAATCTCTGTCTCTATGTGATTGTTTGCTGTTGTTTTTATCTTCTACTTATGAGTGAGATCGTATGGTATTTGACTTTCTCCCTCTGTCTTGTTTCACGTAGCACAATACCCTCAAGGTCCATCCATGTTGTCACAAATGGCTGGATTTCATCGTTTCTTATGGTTGAGTAGTATTCCATTGCATATATATACCACATCTTCTTTATCCATCTCAAAATAGTGAGAACGTTTATTTGTTTTCATTTTATCTTGAGTGAAAGTGCTAAAACATCACTGCTTTTGTAAATTGTGAGTTTTTCCAGTACTTCTCATCGGGTAACTGGAGTAAACTTTCTAGAACAAAGATAAGTAGAGCTCATGCTCCTGATTATAACAGTCGGGGGCCCACCGACTCATTTTCTCTACAACAGCGTTGCTCAGCCAATTTCCCCCCGGAACGTCCTAAACTGATGAAGCTCACACAAGAATCCCACACTCCAGAGCCCAGATCCTTTGAGGCACTTGGAAGAGTTGAAGACGTAACCAAAGTCTGGCTGCCTTTAGATGGAAGAAAGTGCAATGGATTTACGGCCAAAAAAGAGATTTTCTTTTCCTACAGTGTCACCTCCTTCCAGTCATCTCCTTTTCAACTTCCTCAAACAAAGCCTGAAGTGAGAAAACAGAGTTATAAAATGTCAGTGTTGGGGTTTCTCTATTCAAAACATCCTCTTGGTTTTCTGATGGGGAAGCAGCCACATGCTTCAGGCTTCTATAGTAATGTGTTGACCACAAGTGACAGAATAATTAGTCTATCCTAAAAAAGGAGAATTTTATGAGAATATTCTGAGATCTCCAACTTCATTAAAGAAGAGCAAAACCACCTGTTGGGAAAGATAGTCCTTAGTCTCTCATACTCTCAACATATGCTGGCTCTCATCAAATCATGAGGCTCTGACTGCTCATTACCTGGCTGATCTCATGGATGTATTTGCAGCGAGCAACTTTGTGGGAGGAGGTCACGTCTTCCTCCAAGACAAAGAGTAGGCTCACTTAGTGCTTGCTCTGAGAGTACTAGATTCTGAATTTGCTTGTCTTTGCCTCCTGGGGACCTATCGACCTGTCTCTGAGCTTTCTCTGGGACTTATTTTATCAACAAAATTTTCTGAACAGCTCTGGGAGCCAAAACAGACCCACTCCTTAACCCCATGGGCTCACCATCTTTCGGGATGGGGAGCATTGAAGATGTCATTATAGACAAATCAGAACAGTTAGGAAAGTACGAGGCTCAAAACAAAGACCTGGTTTGGAGACATATTTTAAAGCAATAGCATCTTTTCTTTAATTTCTAAAATATTTATCAAAAGCATATTATGTGTCAGGTATTGGACTTGGTGATCAAAATAGACAAAAATACCTTCACCCAGTATCACAAACCAGGCATAGAATTGTCCTTGGGAACGAGCAGTGAGGAAACATTGCCCAGGTAATGTCTCTGAGGTGGGCACAGACAGATAAAAAGAGAGGACAATGCTTGGAAGTCTGTTCCTTTCCTTTCCAGGACCAGGCTAGGGAGTGAGGGTGGGAGGAAGGAATTAAGGAAAGAAAAAGAAAATAATGAAAGGAAAGAAGGAGAGCAAGATGTGCAAGAAAGAGAAGAGAGAGACAGAGAGAGACTCTGAACTGGCTGAATCCATGGAAGTGTGGATGGCCAGCTTAGCATCTGTGGTCGTCACTGCTCTTAAGAACACACTTGACTGTTTCAACGCTCAGCAACCAGTTAGCACAGTGGCTGGATATAAGGTAAATCCCTGGGGCCCACTGATAACGAACCCCAGTAACGCTGAGGCTGTCTAACTGGATTTTTCTTGTCCCTCCACTTGCTGGCCTGTGTGGATATGAGCAGCTCATCCGAGCCTCCTCTGTGACACAGACACAATGCTGACCCACTCAGAGTCACTGTGAGGACTGAATAACACAGGATAGGTGAGGAATTGATACACAATAGGTGATAAGCAGATGGATTAGTTCCCTAGAGCTGCTGTGACAAATTAACACACACTGCGTGGCCTAAAACAGCAGAAATTTATTCTTTCACAGTTCTGGAGGCTGGAAGACAACAATCAAGGTTTCAGCAGGACCACGCACCCTCGGAAGGCTCTAGGGAAGAATCATTTCTTGACTCGTCTGGGTTCTGGTGGTTGCCAGCAATCCTTGGCGTTTCTTGCCTTGTGGCGTCACAAATCCAATCTCTGCCTCCATTGTCACACGGCCTTCTTCCCTACATGTTTCTGTGTCTAAATTTCGCTTTTTATATAAGGACAAGAGTCACTGGTTTTAGGGCTGCTCGCCCCCCCCTTCACCCAACGAAATAAGTCTGACCTCATACTAACTTGGTCATGTCTCCAAATAAAATCACGTTCACAGGTATCAGGGGTGAGAACCTGAATAAATCTTTTTGGGGGACATAATTCAACCCACAACAGCAGACATTCACTATCAGGATTATTGGACCCCCATGATGTTCCCACTGTCCATCTCCAGTCCCTACAATCCTCCTGAGCTCCAGACCATTCATCTCTCCAGCTGCCTGCTGCCTGCTGGTCTCCATGGGGAGACCCAGAGACCCTTGAGCTCCCAACATGTGACTCTGACATCATTGTCTCCATCAAGGCCCTGCACCCCAACACTTGAGAGAAATGAAAACCTACATGGAAAAATCTTGTAGAGGGCCGGCCCCCTGGCTTAGTGGTTGGGTGTGCACACTCTGCTATTGGCAGCCCAGGTTCGGATGCCTGGTGCGCACCGACTTACCGCTTCTCCAGCCATGCTGAGGCCGCATCCCACATACAGCAACTGTAAGGATGCACAACTATGACATACAACTATCTACTGGGGCTTTTGGGGAAAAAAATGGAGGAGGATTGGCAATAGATGTTAGCTCAGAGCCGGTCTTCCTCAGCCAAAAGAGGAGGATTAGCACGGATGTTAGCTCATGGCTGATCTTCTTCACTAAATAAATAAATAAATAAATAATTAAAAATAAAAAATAAAAATAAAACTTGTAGAAATATATTCACAGCAGCTTTATTCACAATTGCTCAAAACTGGAAACAAACCCAATGTTCATCAACAAAAACAAGGGTAAACAAACTGTGATATACTGGAAACCTACTCAGAATGAAGGAACAAAGTACTGATACACACACAATA